ACCTGTCTCAAACGAGTAAGGTGAAGAGTGATGCAGCAGATACCCACACTTAGCCTCCAAAGAGCACGCAAGAGCAAGCATCATGATATGCATACATGCACATATAGTAAATACACACACACTTAAACAATACACTATAAATATAAATAAATAAGCATTCTTAGAAAATGCTTTTTTTTTAAAGGAAAGAGTTGGAGCAGAGAAACAGGGGAAAGAGAGAGGATGTAGCTTGACATTTCCCAGGAATTGTGGAAGACTTAAGAAAGCCATGATTGCCCTCTTGGAAATGGAGAGTTGCACTTTTGCTGAGAAATGTTCACTGAGAGACGAGTTCAGCTTCTACTTGAAAGGTGAGAGTAGGAATTTTCAGAGGCAGACAGGGAGAGAGTGGACTGATTTAATTAGTCCGTGACTTCCTCAGCAGGACGCGTCCTCTCAGGAAATGCCTTTATCTCAGCAAGTCTCCATTACTCCTTCTTATGGAAAGGCTGTTTAATTTTCACCAACCACTCCCCTGTCAATGGTGGTGTATGTGGTGATGACTTAAGAGCTTCAAAAGAGTTGGCTGATTTAAAACTGTGATATATATACATGTGTGTGTGTGTGTATGTGTGTGTGTGTGTTCTCCATTCTCAATCTCAATTCTCACCTTCATATATAATGGATAATAGCTAAAAAGTCCTGAATGATGACGGAACACTTCACACTCTGCTAATTGCCCCAAAGTTTTAGCTACTTGCTTCTTAGACACCTAGATCTGAAGGTTTTGCCATGCAGGAATCGGAGGGTCAGAGTACTTAAGTAACCAGCTTGAAAGGTTACAGGGTTAATAAGATAAAGAGCTAAGATCCAAACTTAGGTAATCTAGCTTCCAGATCAACGTTCCATGCAGAAACTTTGTCTCGGTCATGTCCTTCAGAATTCCCATTTTCCATCTGCAACCAAACATATGGAACACATAAATTTCTTTTATGAGCCTTAGCATCACCACAGAGCCTGAGCTGAGTGTCGGCTCTGTGCTGGTTGGTGGACAGGCACATTAAGGATGGAGACAACAGTGAAGCCAACCTAATTTCAGTTCTCAGAAGAATGAGGCTTGTTGCTTTGAGGTGAGGGAATAAAATGCCTAGAAGCAAAGAAACCTATACTGTTCCGTGCCCTGCAATGGCTCAGAATTCTGACTATGCCAAGGAAGGGGCAATGGGTGAGTCAAAGCTTTAGAACTGACAGACAGCATGGAAACACAATTGGTGACATCTGGGCTTTCATCTTAAGACCTTGAAAAATCGACATTTTAGGTTGTCTTGAAATTGACCCTCTAGATCATTGGGGTGAACTGATTTAAACATGTGCAATTTCTAGCAAGTAGGCATTTTAGAGGGTTAACTAGAAGCCCTGAGACAATTCCTTTGGTAAACATACCACCCTCTCATCTCCATGATTGCCTTGCATAGGGTGCATTTTTATATAAAATAAAATCTTCCCATGATTTGAAATTGTACTAGAACCAGTAGTGATTGCCAGGTCATTTCATCATTAGCACTCTGACCTGTACAGAATATGAAAATAAAGAACCATTCTATAGCTCTTGAGACATAGGAAGCAAATTGGCATGATCTGAGCCATTGGGGAAGCCAGATGTGGCCGGAGACATGAGAAACTTGAGCAGTTTCTTGGATATGCTCATTGAAGAGGGGAACACATAGATTTGTCTCCACAGAGCAGGACCAGATGCCACCAGAATTCTAAGTAGCGTTCCAGTGGAGCTGACTGATCTGAGGAGCTGTGACCTCCTCTGTCAAAGTCAATGTGTTCTTGGCCTTCAAAATTCCAGAAAAACTGCAAATATAAATGAAAAAGCAGTGGCAAGATCCACTTCTAGCCTTAGAGGCATTGACCTAACAATCATTAATGCCTTCTGAGTGTCTAGCCTCCTGCTGGAGGCTGGCAACAATATATTATAGATCATCTAAGACTGGACTGCTATTCTCTATGCACTAAAAGCCATAAAGTTGTGAAATTTTATGATGTTAAGAATCACAGAGTTGAAAAAGTCCTTTCCCATATGCTCACTGCTTTTTAAATAGAAGACTAACATCACAACACATTTCTTTGTCCCTTTTGTGCCTTGGTCTAGAACAGCCTGTTCTTAGCTGCTTGGAACCCCATTATAAAATTCAAAGTCCAGCATGGCTGTAAGCACAATGGCATAAATCCCGATGCTTACTCAGCAACTTTCACCATCCCCTTTCATGCCTTACTCCATCCTACAAGGTGAGAATCTGCTGTAGTCATCTAAGTTTGTGTCTGTGGCTGCCAGTCTGTGCCTCTACCCTAACAGCATCTCTAGGTGATTTACATACACGCAGAAGCAGAAGTTATAAACCATGGCTGCTGACTTGTGATTTCCCAGGCATCCGCCTGCACACTTTTGTTTTAATTGAATTACCAGAGAAAGGGTGAGCTATCACAGTGGGTTAGAAGCAACTACTAGGTCTAATTCTTCTTTATAATCCAATTGTCAAGCACAGTGCCTGCTGCAAAGCCAGTGCGAGGAGAGTACGTGTGGAATCAAAGAAGCCATTGCACCCTGATTTCTCCTTTCAGGTTAATTATCGTTTCCACAGCTTGGAGAATTCAACTTCAAAGTTTTTGTGTGCTTTTCTTGGAGGTCTCTGGGTCCATTCCAATAGGCCCAAATACTCTTTTCTTAAATAGCACCTCTTTGAAATTTTCATGAATTAATGGCCTGTTAATAAACAGATTCAAATTTATAACTAGAAGGGATTTATTGTTAAGATGATAAGGGAATAATAACTTGAAAAGGACTTTGTATATTTACACAATGTCCAAACTCACACTAGAAATAAATGTTCTATTTTAGGGCCTGTGACCAATTTTTAATAGCCTTCTGCACATTTACACTGTCATAATTAACAAAGTCAAATGGAGCATGTTTCCTCTCCTTGTTAAAGGTAAACTCCAATGTTTAGAATTACATGATATTATACAGTCAAGAACTTGAAATTATAAAGACCTGTCTTACCAATAGTTTTTCTTCCCTCAAGGAGGTACTGGGAGAATACAAATCAAAATGGCACTTGAGTAATATTTGAGTCAATATCCTCTAACTTGATGAAATGTTTTGGGTGCTGGAATATGAAATAAGCCATCCACTTTTTTGTGGTTTAAAGTTGATTAAGTCTTGAGGTCAGCTTGTTCACTCTCCCTGTGCAAATGATGAGAGAGAGGTGGATGGGCACATCTACAGAGGACCAGTTCTTGTGTACTCAACCCTGTGCTCACCAGAGTTGGAAAGAAAGGGAGTGAGCCACACCTGGACCAGCTCACAGAGACATACTCTGCCTAGTTTATGGACCAAGGGGAATAGAGAGTTGATATGAGCCTGAGTTTCTCTGGCTTTGATACACTGTAACTTTGGAAAATATCCAAAGTTAGCCCAGTGTATATTCTAATTTCAGATGAATTGTAGTAAATGTCTTGTCTGCTTAATGAAGGATCTGGAAAATCAGTAGACAGAAATTGATGATATCCTGGCATTATGCTGACCCTGCCCCCTATCAGCTGTCAGGGTACGCATGCACACTAGCACTCAGGCAGATTCTTAGACAGCTCAAAGGGCCCTGTGTGGAATAGCTACACCATGTGTTATGTGGCTGCATCATTCTTTGTGTAGCTGCTTAAAGACTCTGTATGCATGCGCAAGCTTTCCCTTTTAAGCAAGTGCCTTTCCATACACAGGTTTTGTTGAGTTCTGTGGTTCATTACTCACCGTTGTAACTGTAGCAAACAGCAGAGATAATAACCCTAACATGAAAGGCACCCTCAAGTTACCTTCTAATTCTAGGTTCTTGTTCAAGGGCAGCCATACAAGATCTAAATCTCCATAACCTCCACTTTGCCCTGATGTTCTGTAAATCTGACTGTCCTGTGCGTGCGTGCGTGCGTGTGTGTGTGTGTGTGTGTGTGTGTGACACACCAACTAGGTCCCAGGGATGCTACTAAATACACTGTCCAGCACAGACAACCTTACCCACAACAAAGAATGACTCAGCCCCAAATAAGAATAATGCTGTTAGAAATGCGTGTGAGTTTGCAAAGAGACCACCATTCCAATCAAAGTCTCTCAAGAAGGCAAACTATAGTGCCCACATCACTAAATCAGAGGAGAAAGCACATAGGGAATTTAATTTTTAATTCTAATGCAGGCGGTGACTGTGTCTTTTCATAATTGTCTGGCATCCGATCTCAGTCTTTCCCTATAAAAACTTAGCACAAAGGAAATGGAGGGTGGAGGGATCTGCCATTTTAATCAGAGATCATAGCAGGGCCTTTGTCTATTCAAAGATTTTACCAGATTTGGGGGTAGCAGATTAAAACATTTGCATAAAATGTTTAACAGGTAGGGATCTAGAAATATTTTAATTCCTCATAAAAATACATTTTTCCAGTAGCTGATAGAAGAACCTCATATTTAATATTCATTTCCACGCTGAGGTTCAGAGACTTACCCCAGAAAGAACCCTGTTCTTTACATGTATTAGTCCATGAAATGTCTTCATAGCAATAGAAACTTCGTTTTCCAGTGAGGAATCTGAAGTTCAGAGGAAGAGGATGAGTTCAAGGCTGGAGATGTGGAAGAAAGCAAGAAGAGATGGAAGCCGTGTTTTGTAATTTTCTCATGCCCTTGGCCTCACCGCCATCCCTCCTTCCACTACGCCGCTGTAGCCCCCCTCTCCCACACACGGGCCGAAACCCCCCTCTCCCACACACGCCGCTGTAGCCCCTCTCCCCCTCAGCTCTGTTGTTAGCTGCACAGCCCAGATCCATCGTTTATCAAAACCACAACCTTTCCAATTTGCTCATTTCTCCTCCCTTAGCCAGACTTTTCTTCAGAGTCGAGCTCAGTGTTGTCTGTGACTAGCAGGGCACATTCAGTCATGGCTAAGATAGACACACCAAGGAATCACTGTCAGAGCTTTGCTTTTTAAACTCCACGCTTTATTCTTACGATGAATACACACTAATCATCTGTACACACTTCTGCAGAAATGACCAACTGTTGAAACAGAGTGCTTGGTCAGAATAAGAGAGAGGAGGGCTGGGCGGGGGGAGGACACAGGAAAGTGCATTCCAAGAGAAAGCGTAGGTAAGCTTAAGGATAGGGTAGATCTTGCATAATGACTTGGCTGACTTCTCTCTGAAGCTTCACGTCTCTCATGGTCTTTAATTCACCTGTTCAGTGCACCGTTGGCGATAAGCACCTTCCTCAAATTCTGCAAATGTACCAAATTCTTCAGGGGCTTGCTCACAGATCTGAGTGTTCTAGAACCCGACTCCTCCTACGTTCCACCTAGCTAGCACACACCTTTTGTTCCCATCTCTCGGCTTACGTGCCGTTTTCACGTGACTGGCTAGTTCTTCTGGCATTTCCCAGTTGTCTTCATCTATATATAGTCTGCCCCCGCCACAAGAGAAAAGATAAATAACTGTGAGGGCAAGCATTGCATCAGCCCCATTCACTGATAACAGTTTGAGCTAACCCACTAAAACTAATTTAATGAAACTTAATGCCCCTTGTGGACTTATAAGAGGATAGAATCCTAATCTGGTTATGTTTTGGGGGGTGGAAACTTTGGGAGGTAATGTCAAATGAGAACACAAAGATAGGGCACTAATTCAGTGGGACTGAGGCTTTATATTGGGGGGGCAAAGAAGGCAGCCAGGATACTTGGTTGTCGGGTCATGTGAGGCTCTGCTCTGCCTGGTCACTCTCCAAACATCTATGACCACCACAGGAAGCCACAACTCATGTATAGCTTCCCAGCCTGCAGAGCCATGAGCCACAGAAACTTGTTTCCTTTTTAATTACCTACAATAATTCAGTTACAGAAATGCAAAACAAAGCTATTCCCCAGTCCCCATCCCAGGCCTAGCATCAAAAAATATCTCTTGAATGAGAGAATAAATAGCATTTTTAAATTGCTTATACTCTTTTTTAATGTTCTATCTATATATAATAGTATTAAGTTGAAATTCTGAAAGTTATGCCGTTAGAAAATTCAGTACAGCGACTGAACAACATTGATCCATAAAAATTGTGTAAAATTTGACCTTTACCTTAATTCTTTCAATTCCCTTCCATGTGGCCTGGATAAGAAACATCCTGTTCCATGACTCCTCATTTTCTTGAGTTATTAAGTTACACTTTGTGAAAACCTCAAAAGTTAGCAATTTCGGAAGTTTTCCCTTTCCATACCCTTTGCACAGGGAATTAAAATATAACCTAGTAGCTTACACAGAGAGAACTGTAATAGTGTAAAATGTGATTCAATAACTTGCACACACAGCACCGTAAGTTACAAGCAGGATTAAAATGTCTCATTGAGGGTGGTGGAAGAGTCGAGTTCTAATGCCTCAAGATTCTCTTCAAATATTTGTTGCTCATGTTGAGGCATTCCTAAATTCAACTATTCCCGTTACTGTAGGGAAGTGAACCATTTATTACCTGTGGTTGCATACATCTGCTATTTCATCCCCCCAGTTAGGAGTAATGTATATGTGCATTCCTATAATTGGACACAACTGCTAATTATGATATAATCCAAAAAACTGGTGAGTCTCGTGCATCTCCATTCTGGCGGATGGAGATAATAAGAAGGAAAAGCACACACTTTACATCGCCATGACTTGCTCCTATCTATCCGAGGGTTGCTTAATCGTGTGTTACAGAAACTTTGCAGCAGCCTGTCATGGCCTCTGAAACACAGGAAGCCGGCAGTGTGAGCGAGCTAGTCCTGTGGGTCTTCACACAAAAGGCAGCTGGGGTCCTGGTCTGCTTCAGACTCTATCTGAATGGTGAGGGAGTGCAGGTCAAAGCTCCTGCTGAGGGCATCAGCAATCCTTGTCCTCACAGACTGGCTGTCCTGGCTGGCATCTGTGGATAAAGAACCATGGGAAGATTAGCACAGATAATGCATTCTCTCTCTCTCTCTCTCTCTCTCTCTCTCTCTCTCTCTCTCTCTCTCTCTCTCTCTCTCTCTCTCTCTCTCTCTCTCTCTCTCATACACACACATCCCACACACAGAGAAGCAGGAGCTGATTGCTTTCAGCTTCAAGTGTTTGGTGCCTGAAGGGTTGAGTGAGGGCAGAGTCATCAGCTCTCCACGCAGATACAAGGCTGGGGAACCTGAGCACAGTAAAGTAGCCCTCTTTATGGATATTTTTCCTCTCCGGTTATCTCTGTAGTCTGTCATTCATAGGAGCTACATAGGGAAGGAGAGACAAGACTAGCAAAGAAACAAGGACCAGGCTGAGCTATTATGACTTACTGGACCCCACTCACCAGCCCTCAGGAATCTCCCATTAGCAGCCCTTGGATTTAATTAGAATTTATATCAAGACAAGTGGCAGGAGCAAGGAAGCATTCAGAGCTCCCCACAGACCTTCCTGTGAGCACCCACCCTCACCACCATCCTTTTTCCTGTCTCAAATAATACGGGGAGGCTGCAAAGTCCCCTCCATGGTAACCTGATTGTTTACTATATTCTTCCACTTGGGCTGAAATATTTGCACAAAAGATGCTATAAATTTCCTGAAGTCATATCTGAGCCCCTTGGAGACAAAATACAGCCTTCAAATGACTGTCACTGATGTTCCTGTCCCTTGTCTCTAAGTCACTTCTTTAGTCATATTTTTAACAGCCTGACATACTATCCCTGGCCTGAGCTTTCTCTTAGGAGGAAGGAAAAATCTCCTACCTCCCATTTCCCCCAGTCAGATAACTTATCAGGGGCACAATCCTCTTCTACTTGGAAAAGGCAGGCTTCAGTCTGTCCTATCCTATGAAGGACCACAGGATGTCTAAGCATCTTTCAATACATCTGTTAGCTTGCTGGAATCTCAAAGCTGAGCTCCCAATTCCCTTTCCTCTTCAGGGTCAGAAAACTATCTTTTACACAGGAGATACTCCATTGAGATTTTTTGTTGTCTAATTCCTTCCTGTCATTTAGACTCAGGGGGTTACCAAACAAACAGGTAAAGTCGTCTTTTCCTGAGGCCAAGGGCTTGAAGTTGGGAGGATATTTTAGCCATTTGTACTATCTCTCTACACTAAGCAATCAGCCCAGAGGATGCCACTGGGATCATTGTTGCTATGACAACATTGATAAGTGGGTTGGTTTTCAGAGGCGCTGGGTAGAGCAACACATTTTACAGCTGTTTTGACAGACAATAGATAGTAAGGGCAGCTCTAAAAGGAAGAGAAATGACTGAGATTTCAGGGTATGAAGTGAACCTTGCCTGGGGTATTTACAAAACTCACTGACCTGTAGCCACATGGACGGAGAGAATCACTTGGTTCACTGTAAGCGACCAGATGTGCAGATTGTGCACAGACTTCACACCATCGACTGCAAGGATCAACTCTTTTACTCTGTTGTAACTCAGGCCCTTTGGAACACCTGACATGGGAAAAGTATGACCTTCTTGTTACTTATCTAAATGAACTCGCTACAAAGGCTAAGTCAGCTACACAGTCCTCACCAGAACACCAGGCTGTATTCAGCTCTCTCTTGGGTTCTGTACTTTAAATGTTTGAAAATCTGTCAGAGTGTTTGTCACCAATCTCAAGTCCATGACAAAATACTTAACAGAATGTCCTAGGCAATGTCTAGCAATGGTAATCATCCTTAAAATATTATTATACCAACAGTGCTTTTCCCAAATATCTTTGTACATGTTCTGAAAGTGTAATGGGACAACATGGGATCTGGTATCATAAACCTTGGGTTTGAATTCTGACTATAATTACTATGAATTCTCTCAAATTGTGATTCTTCTCTGATGAATAATAAAATATGGCCAACAAGAGCAATGCACAGACCATGGATGGTGTGGGGATCTCGTGGAACAAGCCCGCTCTTTGTAAATTATAATGCTACGCAATGTTGGTTGTCCGGCAAATCACTCCAGGAACTGTGCTAAGAGGAAGTGCTAACTGGCATTGCAATGGTGTCTGGTCCATTTGGTTTGCAAATTTCCAATCAGCATTCAACATCTGGGTCACAGACTGTCATAATTTCAGTCACTCTTCTTTCTATATGAATCATGGGAAGATGGGAAGACCACCAGCCAATCAGCTTGGTTTTAATTTTTTTTGTTGTTTAATTTTGACAGGTTCTCACTATGAAACCTTAGATGGCCTGGATTTATTATATAGTCCAGGCTAGCCTAGAACTTGTTCCCAGGCCTGTACTTCCCAATTGCTGAGCTTACAAACATCTGCCACTATACCTGACTAATTACCTCTTCTTTGGGACTGAATTAGTATGTCACACCTAACTGCAGAGATGCAGTCTGGGAAACTCAGAAAACTGCAGTATTTCAACTGTGTCAATACCACAGTTGAGAAGAAAATCACCAAAATGAAGAACAGAGGAAGGAAACATGCCCAGTAGGCTTCAGTCATGGCCCACTTTCTTGACTGAGACTAACTACAGTCTTCTATTTCTGATTGACTGCAAGGCCATGGAGCCAGGCAAAGCAGAATTTACAAGGTCACACTAACTACGGGCAATGAGGTTAATAAGCAAAAGACCCTACTTTGGGCTAAGAACAAGCTTGAAACCTTATTTCCCCAGGTGCCCACCTCTTTCTCCACAATGATAAAATTCCATGCCTCTTGTTTTGTAGACTTGCTGTTTGATTCTTTCTCATGGTTTGGACAATCTCTCCTTTCACTCAAGGGTGGCTGCCTCCATTAGGAGAGTGTCAATCACAGCTTTTCTCATCCTTGTAAGTCTAATTTTAAGGACATGATCTAGCAGGTTCCAGCAAGCACTTACTGAACAGTATCCTTGTGCTTGAGACACATGAGATCCAAGTGCTCAATTATAATTCCGGCTAAGGGGAAGACTCCTCTTGCATTTCTTAGACATTTTCCAATATACATGGGGACATTTATTTATAATTTTTACAATACTTCCCTCTAATGTTGTATTTAGTGTTTATGCTTGATATCTTTACATTGTGAGACATGATTTAACATATACATATATGATAGAAATATGCATAATTTCCATTTGTTCCATATAAGCGAAAATCAAATACTAAAAATCCTTATCACTCGAATTTTGTCCCATAATACAAGTAAACCCAGAACACACCTTGCGGTCATCCCTTTATGATCAAAGGGGAAATAAGACCCAGTCCCATGAATAACCGTGAAAGCACTCCTACCTTCCATGAGTAAGATGGAGAAGTCTTTTAAGATCATGATGGTACTGACCAAAACCAGGATGGAAAAGATAAATGTACACACTGGATCTGCAATTTTGTAGTCTGGCTGGAAAACACGGCAGCTTTGGTTAACCAAGTTCGAACTTTCTATCGAGAAAACCAATTAATAAAATAAGTAAACCTCTCCATGCACTTCTTTGTCTACTACTCATATACCTTCCTGACCCTTTGCATTCAACTCAAAGGCAGAATGCTTTTCCTGGGCCTTGATCATGGAAGTTTTGAATTTGCAGTGACTAAGGAATGGAGGCTTCTGGAAATGTGCTGCCCATGACTTAGGAACTAAACTGAAACATAGTCTTAAGTGTTCTCTAAAAATACCTGATTGAAAATTTCTTAAATTAATATGAGAACACTGTAGTTGTCATGGAAATGTGTGAGAAGATGATCACAGTAGCCAATGCTTTTCAACCTTAATTATGGTGAGGGAGGAAAGGAGAGTATCATTCGTTTCAGTCTTTAAAGTCCAAACTAAGACAAGAGTCTTGATTCTTGTGCCCACTTCTCTTTCTCTTTGTTTCTCTATCTATCCATCTATCATCTGTCTATCCATCTATCTATCTCTATATAAATGCCTATATATACATATATATATATATATACATGTGTTCTATTTGTTCCATATAAGCGAAAATCAAATACTAAAAATCCTTATCACTCGAATTTTGCCCTATAATACAAATGAACCCAGAACACACACACACATATCCCTAGCTCTCTCTTTCTCTTTCTCTCTCCCTCCCCTCATTGGTTCATACCCTTGATACTGGAGTAAAACACATGCTATTCTGATTGTAGTGTGGTAGTGAAGCCCATTGGCACAGAAAAGTGCAACCTTCACTTCTCTTGGGAAATGTAGCATCAACTTGACCTTTGTGCAGGGACTTGAGTTATTTTCTTTGTGAAGTTGCTACACTGGATTTTATTAGGTATCCAGCAAAGAAGTTATAAATCAAAGTATTTACCAACTACATTGTGGGGCTAGGCAGTTACAACAAACCTGGCCAAATCCTGCTTTAGTCTCAGATGGTATCTGATGACATTCTTAGCTTTGGATTGCTGAAAGCTAGTGGTCTGTTAAGAATGCATTGCAAGATTTTTTAACGTTGAAATAGATTGCTCAATGCAATATATTCTGATTATCATTTCCCCTCCCCTAGTTCCTCTTAGTTCCTTCCCACTTCCTCACCCATCCAAATCTACATTCTTTCTGTCTTCCTCTCCATTACGATACATGAAGGCATCTATAATGATGATGATGATGATGATGATGATGATGACAACGACGATGATAATGATGATGGTAACAGACAAAATAGAAACAAACAGAACAGGACAAAAATATCAGAAGATAAAGCCAAAGAAAAATAGCAAGAAACACACTTGGAAAAGGAGACATAATCATGTGCACACACACAAACCCCATTAAAAACACAAAACCAGAAGTTAAAATATATATGTAAAGGACCTGTAAGATTTTTTAAATGCTCTGACAAAGCATTATGAGACAAAGAACCCCCAAGATGCCATTGATTTTATTTTGTCTTGGCATCTACTGCTGGGTATGGTGCCTGCCCTTAACTATGGTTCAGCCCCACTAGAGAAAACTGACTTTTCATCTGTGAGCGGTTATCAACTGGGGATAGCTTCTGGGTTAGGGATGGGGGCTTGTGTCCACGTCCCCTCTCAGCACTACGTCCACACATAGGCCTAGGGCAGCACAGGACGTACGCATGCTGCCACAGTCTACGTGAATCCACAGGCCTAGGGCAGCACAGGACGTACGCATGCTGCCACAGTCTACGTGAGTCCACATGTACGTGGGTCCTGTTGGATTTAGAAGACCTTGGATCATCAGTATTTTCCATCCCCTCTGGAAAACTCAAACTGTTCATCTTTGTGGTTTTAAACTGCCATTGCCTTTGGCTTGAAGTTTTCATTTCACCTTTAAAGTTTTTATTTATTAACTGACTTGAAGCTTTCAAGGTGCATTTTCTCAGTCTGTGTTAGGAATTTGTTTATTTTAACTTTTACTTATGTATTTTCACACTTTGGAGAGAAAAAACAACTATTCTCTCCGAATTGGAAAAAATATGACAGCATGATAGAAAAAAGTAGAGCCAGGTGCTATTTTTAGCTCCACTCTCTCTGTCCCAACACTCATTCCTGTTGGTGAGCACTTGCATGTTTAGGGTGGGAGACCCATCTCCACTCTCATTTTGCCCCAGAGCTCTGCTTTTGGGGGGGGGGCCAAAGAAGCTCCTCCCACATTGAGGACAATGTAAGTAGGTTCCTAATCAAGCCCTCTAACCTTCCCCAGCCAAGCAGTAGGCATAAGTACAAAACTCAGTGAATTGGCAACGCACCCAAGAAATGTGATTCTTAGAGTGCTGGATAGAAGGCTCAATGGTTAGGAGTGAGTGTTGCTCTTACAGAGAACCTGAGTTTGCTTCCCACCATTCACATTAGACTCCAGAGAATCTGATTTAAAAAAAATAAATCTTTAAGAAATATGACTCTCAGCTATGATAACAGGAAAAATACTTGATCAGACAGAATTATTTCAGCATGATACCCACAGACACCAAATTGCGCCCTTATTTCTACCTTGTTTTTTTATCTCTGAGTTCATTCCATAAATTTCAGCCAATTAGCATAATTTAAACAAACCAGAGATCTCATCCATTGCTTACATCTAAGTTAACCCAAGGTGTTCGTGCTTTCATTGATTTACATCTTAACCCCATATCAAAAGGAACTTTCTTGAAAGACTCAAAGCCCAACAGACTGCTCTTTGGAATCTGGAGATTATTAAGGCTTCAGTATTTGTTAGTTTTAACTTTGTAAGGTGGTTTGTGCAGGTAAGCACAGGCTGCTAACGCTGGTAGTATCTGAGTCTTAGAATTACTATGATTACTTAAACATACCTTAAAGTAGATGATGAGAGCACTGATTAGCACACTGATGCTCTGAAATACATCCCCAAGGGCATGCACAAAGGCTGCTCTGACACTGGCATTAGCTTGCTCATCCTTGTGGTTGTCGCCAATGTGTCTTTGGTGCAAAATTGCAGTTAGTCTAGAAGAGATGACAATGTTTCTGGCACCCGTACAATAAGCCTTTAAAAACCTACACAGCATAATGAAGAAGTCATCAGTAGCACTCATTATCCAAGCTGCCAAGTAGTTAACATATCAGTGCTTTAAGGTGTGCCGTGTTGGACTCATATTTGATTATAAATATGCCTTAGAACTTTTAAAAGCCCTCAAAAGGAAATATTTCAAAAATTCACCTCCATTTTCTGGAGAATTCACCAACACAATGCTATTCTTTTCCACAGTAAAACTGAAAAGCATTATTGCTTTCATGAAAACCAAACCTTGATCCAATTAGATGAGTGTTGGTTGCCCCCAACATGTAAGTGCCACTATTGCCACCCCAAGTATATCTTGCTGAGCTTGTCATTTTGGTTCCCAGGCTTTGTAACTGGCTCAGACTATTGGCTTTTATCTCCCTTGGCAGCTTGCATAGAACCTTCAAATTCTACGAGAGTTAGTCTACAAGGAGGAGACTTCTGGGTCAGTATGAGCTCAGTTCCTCCATGCAAAGTACACAGTGTCTTTAGCAATAAGTTCTTACCTTCAAGTTCTGGGAGGCAAGAAAGGATAGTGTTTTTGAGGAACTTCTTGGTCTCTCTTGACCAACACTCAAAAGGTTTCATCTGTGGCATGCTGGTGTTTTGTTATACAGTCTATGACTTTTGGGGGGAATCTATCAATCTAAGTGTCTATATGTTTATGTGTTCATGTGTATACCAGCACTTGCGTATGTGGTTCCCAGAGAACCACCTTGATTCAGGAGCTATCTACCCTGTTTACGAGACACAGTCTCATTAGTTTGAGACTTACTGATTTGGTGAGGCAAGCTGACTGACGAACCCTGTCTTGGTGTCCCCAGCATTGAGGTTACAAAATCATTATGCCTAGCATTTTTCTGTGGCTTCTAGGGGGCATCAAATTCAGGTTTTCATGCTTGTGATGTAAGCACACTACCGACTCAGCTCTCTATTTTGCTCCAAAAGTTAGAATCTTTAATTTTTTCATTGTACTTAGTTTGGTTCGTTTGAGTGATTATTTGAAATCTGAATAATTTTCTAATGGCCAATAAAGAGAACACTGTGTCTGCATATATACCTATTCATACAGATACTTAAATCATCTGATTTATTATAAAGAACTTGCAGAGTTCAGCATGACTCTTCCAGGCAAACTGAAGAAAATATCATGTATGGGCAAAGTATCTGTTAAATCTCAGGCCATCACCAAAAGCAGAATCACAGATACCCCCCAAGATTTGATCATTCCACAACGCAGTTTTCAGATTGTCAGTATTTGGACAGAAATTCACTGTCAACTATGAGTTGCCATTCCACACGCCCCAGATGGCCTGAGAGGCTGGTAGTCTATAGATCTTCTAGATCTGTTATTTATGTTCATCACATTGTCACTCAGTCTTTTACTTGTGCTATTTTAAGATGATTGTGAACACATATTGAGGCACTGTTAAATATTTGTACCATAAACTGGGCATGATATCTCCCTAGCATACATTTGTGGCAGAGATAGCAGGGCTCTCTCTCTCTCTCTCTCTCTCTCTCTCTCTCTCTCTCTCTCTCTCTCTCTCTCTCCTTATCTCTCATGCATGAACACACACATTTATGTTCATATCTACTGAAAATAGCCACTATAGTTGGTACCAGAAGAGGGTCTGGTTTAGAATCACACAACTGGATTGAATTAACAAATTATGATGAAAAGCATTTGCTTTAGGGATCTGTCAACAACTTTTATCAAAGACTCCACATGGTTGCTATTGGAATTTTTGTCCTGGTTTGGGGTTCTTAAGAGCATATTTACCCCCCAAATTTCAGTTCTGATATCTCTACATATTCCAACAACACAGTATCTAGAATCCCTTGAAAGCTACATACTCAGGGCCTAGAGAAAAAGTTATAGTCACTCTGGCCCTTTATCTATAACCACGTGATTGATTGCTCAGGGAAGGCAGAGTAACAAATTAGGTTGTTTTTCTAAGTATAGAAAATGCTTACAATGGTCAAGTCAATGTTTGAAAGTAGCTTCAATAACAAAAAATCTAGATGGTACCTATTGTGAAGATTAAGGTCCACCCTTAAGCTCCAAAACGAATGTAGTAGTTAGCTAGGTTGATCCACCATCTTTGCATAGGATTGACACAACCTACATGACATATGGCTCTTAGGAAATAATTAATATTTTCATTCTTCCTACTGCCTTCAGGACATACTCTTCTCCTTATTCAAAGAGGGTATTATTTACCCCCAGGGAGCAGGACACATGTTCTGAGTCTTTTTCTCCTAGAGAACATAGATTCATATTCACCCATCTACATTCTTTCTTCCAAAATGAAGCAGTTTCAACATAACTCATAACAGATAGGATCTAGCCAATGACAGCAGATCATCAAATACCATCCTTAACTTTCAGCTCGGGTATTTTGGGTATAAACTATAAGGTGAAAAATGGAGGCATCAAAGACTCTTACAATAACCTGAGGGAACTTTTCAAACCATACACATTAGTATAGCTACCAATTGCAAAGATTCTGTCATGGCCTTTCTTTAAAAAATGCTGTTCCATTTTTTGTTTCTTCAACCACTGCCAAGTCTTTGATGTCAAACCTACCTTGGTGCTGGAAGACTAGAAGATGATACACTTCATACTGGAAGTGTTTTCAAATTTGTTTTTTGTGTATGTGTGTGTGTGAATTTTGACATAAAATTTACTATTTAAATATTGCTGATATGATGATTCAAAATGTTCAAAATGCTGCAAGGTCCAGAATTTTGAGACTGAAACATATTCCAAAGTTTCAGGTTTCAGGACATTTTAGATTTTGGATCAGGAATACTCAATATGTATATGATTTTTATTTTACTGAATTAATAAACTACCACAATGTTTTAGGAATTTAAAACAACATGAATCTATTAACTTTCAGTTTTTGAGGTAAGAAGCATGAAGTAGATTTGAAAGACTGAATTCTTTCAGAAGGCACTTGTGGGATAGGTTACTTTTTCCCTTAGAGTTTTTTATGTAGCAGCATGGTATAATGATGGAATAGAGTTTGATGGAAGAAAACCTCCATTTTTGCTTTGATTGAAATATACAAAGGTGATGACCTCTTTACAAAGAGACAGCCAAACAGACCTTAAACACCAAATCCACACCACGATAAAACATTTCTACGGTCTCTGTCAGCTCAGCAATCTGAGCCTCATAATCTACTTACCTAAAAATATTGGAACCATTTGGAAGCTACAACCCATGGGGTCATTAACATACATGAGAAAGTAGAGTGGATAGAAACTCTATTCCAAATGCATGGATATAGATTCATATCCTAATTTCTCACTACCTATTGAACATAGCTGAGCTTCCCTGTCATACTCTGTGGGGTTGGAAGACTGCTAAATTCATTTTGATGTGTATATCACAAGATCCTTTCCCACTTTCCGGCATGTAGGAAGCTTTCAAATATGGTAGCTAGTAGACGCCAAAGTTTTGAAACTCCTTCATCTACAGTGATCAATACTATGTCCAGTTTTAGTGACACTTGATACTGTATGAGAACTTTAGTGTCTTCACAGACACGGGTGATTTTCTTTGTTTTAAAAATATTTCTCTAGACAGGGCTGAAGATAAGCCAAGTAGACACTCAACATGGATAACTTACACAATGTTGGCTGCCACTGCACAGCCTGAAACAGTGATCATGATGCCTGCTTGGATCTGGTAATCCGGATAGAGTAGGCGCTCACAGGCAAGGTACACCAGCACACCAGTCACCACCCAGATGCAAAGGACAGACATCAGGGCTCCAAGGATCTCTGGGAGTCAAAGTCACAGAAAATAACATGAATATCACCCTTGTATCCCCCACTCCCCACGCAAGGGCCATAGACTCTTTGATCCTCCTGCCTACGAAAATGGCTTTATATGCTTTTTTCCAGTGATTCATGAAGCAGAAGTATGAATGGATTTGAGAACTGAGACAGGCACTTCAGCATTGCATTCATAAAACACGAGCATCAGAACTCATTATGCTTCCTATTACTGAGTAATTTTCAGCAAATTTTTAGAACAAATTAATTGCTGCCTGCCCTCCCTGTTCTCCTTGGGGATTTTAATTTACACAGGTGCTAAAATGATGGAAACTTATTAGGGGATGAAATAATGAGATATGACGAGTAAAATGTGTTTAGAAACTCTTAATTTCTCCATAAAACATTTACAACTTGCCGGCACTGGCACCTTTAGAGGAATAAGCTTGTAAAAAGGGAAGGCTTTGGAGTGTACTTTATGAAAATGGGTTTCATTTGCCAACTGGACATATTGTAAACACAGAGGCGAACTCAAGGGCTTCTCTGCACTCCAGCTGCTCTTTTAGAGCAACTGCAAGGAAAAGGAACATCCAAATGGAAACATTTGCATTAATATTTGAAGATAAGAGAGATCTCGATGTGCTTATTTAAGAAAGTACGTAATTTAGCTCACATGAACATTTCTTAATACCTCACCCTGTTCTTTCACTCAGCTTTGTAGATAGATTTTTTTAAAAACCATAGGAGCCACTGGTCAGGGAAATTCCATTATGCTATTCTCTACTGTCTGCCCTGATTTCATTCTGTTGCTTAACAAACACCAACTGAGTGGAGGAATGGGTTCATTTGGCATAACTTCCAGGCTACAATTTATCACTGATGGAAGTCAGGTCCAGAACTCAAGAAAGAACTTGAACAAAAAAAAATGGAGGGATGCTGCTTGATAGCTTCTGTTTAGCTGGTTTCTTACACAGCACAAGACCACCAACCTAGGGAATGGTGCCGCCCACATTAGGCGGGGCCCTGCTACAGCTATCTAGAATATCCACTAGGGACATACCAACAGATCAATCTGATCTGTCTGGGCAGTCTCTCTGTTGGGAGTCCCTTCTCAGGTCACTCTAGGCTGTGTCAAGATGACAGTTTACACCAACTATGACACTCCCTTTATATGATTCCTGCATATTAACTCCTGTTGAAGCAGAACTGTGTACTATTACTCATTAAGTGGCTATTGCTCTCCTGACTTTAGTCATTTACATACAACCTTCATTATTTTGCCACGTTCATGTGGCACTTAGTCATTTTGTGTTTTTCTTACTTTAACTCGCTTTTATGCTTAGCCTCTTCCTAAATAGGCTATCCATAAAACCACAAGTTTGATGTACTGCTCTTATGTTTCATGCATAATAGAATGCATATGTGACTGTTGTCTGATGGCCCATCCATGGAACATTTTCACACTGTGGGAAGTGCTGGTGCAGATATTTAGGACTTGACTTCAAGTGTCAGACCCATATGGTATACCAATGACTGCCTATCTGGCTTTATACAGATAAGAGTTTCTTTTTCTAGAAGGTAGATCTTTAAAATAGCATACGGGTACCAGTTGGCATTTGTTGTTGCTTGAATTATGTCTTCAAGGATTTGTATCTAAAAATGTTATTCATCGGCAACTCGGATTGCCACCTTATTTGGAAATGGGATCTTTGCACCAGGCTAGTTAAGATGCAATCATTCAAATATGGCTGGTTTACTTATTCTTAGTGGAAGTGTGGAAATAGTCATGTATTCAGAGAGAGTGCAAAACAGAGATATTTAAGTCAAAGAACAACAAAGGTTGGCAGCACATCAGCAGCAGGTCTGAGGGAGTTACGGAACGGGTTTTCACTGGCAAACCCCAGGAGAAACCAACCTCACTCGTGCCTTGATCTCATACCTCTGTTTCTCTAGACCTCTAAGACGGCAAATGTCTCTCTGCGCTGTCCAGTGGGAGCCATGGTGCCAAAGCAGCTTGGGAAACACCATTAAACTAACTCTCAAGAATCACTGTTTAATTGGTTAGATTGCTTAAAGTTCCCTTTGCTGAAATTAATGAGAATCAGGCTTAAAAAAAAAACTGAATTCACAGATGGTGAGTAGTGTGGTTCCTACCACTGGGTGATCTAAATCAAGATATTCAAGTTGAGTGTGTCCCACCCAAAGCCCATGTTTAGAAATATGTAGTAAGAGACCAGCTGGGTCAATAACGCCCTTATGACAAGCTCAAGGATCAACAGGCAAATCGAAACATTTGGTAGGGATCCAAAAGCAACTAGTTAGAAAAGAAACACATGAGGAAACATGGACCAGTGCTACCCCAGTTTCCAAGAAAACGCCTGAGCAAGGCAAGGCCAGCAGATTGGGCAGCCTGGGCTGTGGATTCTCAGGGCCCATCTATGTGTATAGGTAGTGTGTTACATGGTAAACCACCTGTGCCCCTATTTAACTAGAAATTAGATAAAATTAAAAATATTGTTATTATGTCATAGTAGTCACATTTAAAGTTCTCAATACTTACATCATACACTATATTTCAAAATATTTTACCTAATAGCAAAGAGTTTTATTGAGCAATCTTTGTCTTTTAGAATATTAAGGCTCATAAATTTTCATAGCCAAGGGGACACAGTCTAAGCCAGTGGTTCTTAACCTTCATAATGCTGTGACCCTTTGATATAGTTCCTCATTTTGTGGTGACCCCCAACCATAACATTATTTTCATTGGTACTACATAGCTGTAAATTTTCTGTGTCAATATCTTTTCTGCAGGATATCTGTTACGTGATCTCTGTGAAAGGGTTGTTCAATCCCACCAAAGGATGGAGAACCACAGGTTGAGAAGCTCTGGTCTAAACAATGATGTAAAATTCTGAGTCTACTCTCTCTTAAAAAGAAAACATTCTCGAGAAACAAAACAGCTCCAATAATACCAGAACGTGTTGAGCACGTGTAAAAACTTGTGCTGACAAATGCTGAGAGCTTGAGCAAACTCACATGGCTTCTGAGTGCACAGGGCCAGGTTCCAGGGTTCTCTAAACTCTTTCTCACCAAATTTCTGTTGCTATTGTTTTCTCTCTGAATGTTGAAGGGAAGCCAAGCCAGAACACCTGCACTGGCAAACTGCTTAGTATGAAGACCTTAGCATTCTAACCTCAAATACCTAGAGATCACATTGTCAGTGAACAAGCTACGGTTTGCCATCACTGACATCTTCCACTGTGAAGGTTGACCGTGAGGGCTACCCATGCATCTGCCTTGACTTCGCAGCCAGTGTGAAATCACGGAGCTGCAGCTATGTATTTCTGAGACTGGCACAAAACACTCCAACAGAAACTCCTGCAGCTAATATATAAAGTCCTCCAGCAGACAGGGCACATAGAGGTGCAGTATGTGTGGATGGGTGAGAGGATGCTGTGAAGGGAACCCATGATAAATAGTTTGCAGAGGCCGGCCTCTTCCTGGGCAAGCGCAAGCAGTCACTCAGTGCAAGCAGCAGCTCTGAGAAAGGGGGGAGGAGTGGATTTTATTCCCCCTCTTCTTTCTCACTGTCAGCATTTTCTTCTACTTTGTTCTTGCTGGTGATTAAGTGAGCAGGTATTCAGCTGAGCCAGGCATTCGATGAATGGCTGTCTTGGTGCATTTTCTGCTGCTGTAACAAAATACTACAGACTATGTAATTTATAATGAAAGGTTTTTGTTTTGTTTTATGTTGCTTTGTTTTGGCTTTTTTTATTTTTTATTTTTTGCCTCAGTTATGGATGCTGGGAAGCACTGGACCAAGGTTCGTGTAGCTGGCAAATATTTCTACGCCACATCGTAGCATGATGGAAAAGTAAGCATGTACGAGACAAGGGGAAGAAATTATTCTGACTTCGTCTTTCTTATCAGGATTCCACGGTAACAACCTTGACCCACTAATGAGAGCACTGTCCTTATGACTTAATGGAGTCCCATCTCAACACCATACCAATAATCATTAGATTCCAACAGGAGATCCAGAAGCAGCATTCCAGCCATAGCAATGACAAAATGCTGTGTGTGAGTGGGACAGCCAGTCTCTCATGCCTAACTCCCTGAGGAGAAATCCTTCACTGCTACCGCTGTCTTGGACTCTGGGGCTTTAGTTTTTAATGTGGCAGAAGCTTTGCCTTCATCATCTCTCTCAAGGATGCAGAGTGAATGAAAGAACACTTCCTAGGTGTTGCTACACAGAGACCCTGGGGATGGCGCAGCTGCTAACAGGATGCTCATACTCTCGTCCCGCGGGAGAGGAGGTACTTCCATTAATCCCGCTGTCAGTTGAATTCACGTGGAGAGCACACATTCCCGCGGGGTTATTTTATCCTGAGGCACCAAACCTGTGGCCCAGAGGGAATTTCTGAATAAGGCTTTGCTCTCTACGCTGCGCCTTTTTTAAAACCTGGGTTGGACTCCGCATCACTATGCATTCGTTACTGCGCAGTCGTAGCGGCGCCCCCGCCCCTTCCCCCCCCCCCCCCCCGTTACCTGCTCGGTACCACCCAAAGGTCAGCCGCTTGGAGGGAGGCCGTGATGACAACCATAAAGAAAAGAGACTGAGCAGGAAACTGGTCAGGTCAATTAAAAGGTGAGCAGCATCGGTGAGGATAGCAAGACTCCCAGCAAGGTATCCACCTGTGAGGTATACAATATCATACAGGGTTGAAGGTCCAGAATGCAATAAAACAAAAGTTCTCCACGTCAAATCAATCCACCTCTTTCTCCCAACTTGAAAAATAACTGAGACCCTAGAAGCAAATAAAACTGAATGTTAAGGGAGCCATTGCCGAGGCTGTGGAAACACAGAGACGGGAATTATGAGGCAAGTAGAGACAGCATTTCAACTAGGTTAGGCAGGAAGCCTCGGGAATAAGCCTACTGGTACATACGGCTGTGGAGGTGTTGGGCTACATTCACAGGGTCTCATAATCCAGGATGTAGGTTTGAGCTTCTTTCTGGAAAACAGCCTTATGTCAGCCCACAGACGTTATCTATTTGCAATTTTACCATAGTCTTTGTCGCTTCCCTTTGTTCTGCTGAATCACGCTATACCTAACTGCACTGGGAATTCTTGCCAGAAACATCGGGAGAGCAGAGCAGAAAGGATAAATGGGGGCATGGTGCCATGGACACGCCAAGTGCAAAAACATTGCGTCAAAACATAGGCTAGAAACCCGCAGGCATGCGAGTCCACCTTGCTGTTCTGGGCATTTGTGACACCCCTGTTTCTTCCCTCGGTTTCTCCTTTGAAAAGACCTCCAGCCTTCAGAGTAGAAAGGAAAGGAAATTTGTGTCCTCTACTTCCCCAGCAGGCCTTGTTGTTTGAGAGCAATAACCTTTATTGCTCTGACCACCTCTTCCCCGCAAAGAGCGTGCGCTGACTGATGAGTCGTTCCTGCAGTTGTTTATTGCCTCGTGCACTACAAAGCGGCAGAGGCTGTCAATCATCAGCCCCTCCATCATCGGACTCACCTTGTCTCGCCTAATGATTAATAAAAATTACACGGATGGCTCGTAATTGCAGTGATCCCCACAGACGGGTGGCTCGAGCTGTACTTAATAACTGGTTTGTCAAAGTTTAATGGTCTGAAGCAAAGTAGTCTTCGAGCTTGTTACCGAGCTGTCGGTGCAAAAATCGGGGGATGATTCATTAGCCAAAAGGCAACATTTTGCTAACAAATCAGCTGTCCTTCCAATTATCCTCTAATGTTCCTCTATCTGCCGTACTCGGTGGCGATAATAAAGCCGTGTTAATAATGCATTATTTCTTGCCTGAAGAATGACTACATGCAGATAAGCAGCATGGGGCAATTCAGCCATGAATGATGAGGATTCTACTCGCCATGCTGAAATTGCCCACTAAGTCAAAGGAAGAAAGTCTTGGAGGAATTCCTTAGCAGGTTCGGCTGGTCAGGAGGCAACTGAGAAGGAAACGGGCTGGGTTTAGAAGAAGCATGTTCATGTGGAGACCTGGGACTCCCAAAATCATTTTCCAGCCATCACAGCCGGCAATAAGAACTATCCAGAAAACCGTGGGCACTGCTGAATGCTACAGAGAAAACTGTTTGCAAAAGGAAGCATGTACATTTGCTTCTGAAAGCGTGGGGCATTATTGACCATTAATTCAACTACCCAGCCAGCATCTATTGAGCCCTTGCTGTGCGTGGTAGCTTGGGCAAAGTACACAAAGATAAACAAATTACTATCTTTTTCCTCGGTCTTCGCCTAACACAGCACTGAAGACTTGCTGCTGGGATGGAGACAGAGAGCCTTGGGTATTCAGGAACTCTTCAAAGAAGTGCTGGGAATTAACAAGAAAATGCTGGCTTTTCGTGAATTAAACAGGAACACAGAAAAAGAAATAAAATAATGTGCCACTTTTCTGTAAAGATAGGTGTTGTGTATCAGGGGACTATGGGAAATGAGACTGCAATGGGGGACTGGAGACAATTGGGAAATGAGACCGTAATGATGGAGTAGAGACAACTGAAGACGTATTCCACGACGAACAAGGGAAGTTGGAAGTTGGCCCACAGGCTGAGGAAATCTACTTAGGATTTTCAGGCAAGGGTGAGGCGTGCTTAGATTTGGGTTTGAGAGAGATCTTTCACAACAGTATAGAAGCTGATTTGGAGGGAGACGAAGCTGGTGGTTAATACCCATGGCTCTGGAACCATTATATGATGTAAACTCAGAAAGACAAATGTCAGGTGATCTTTCTCATATGTGGATCCTAGCTTTAGCGTGTGTGTGTGTGTGCCTATAAAGATGGGTATCAATGTGCACTAGCCATGCAACTAGAGAGAAGACCATGAGATGAGTAAAAAGAATTATCGAGGAAGGAGAAGAGGACAGCACAGCGTAAGACAAGAAAGACGAAAGCATGACATGGGGTTAGAAAGGTCTAAGTGGGGAGCAGGAAGGTGAAAGGGAGACAGAAGAGGCAACAACAGAAATGTTTCGGGACGCCGTAATGAGACTCAATACTTCGTATGCCAACGTTTAAAACCCGACAACAGTAATCACTGAAGTGAACCATGGCGAATGTGTTGTCAGTTCTATTTCTGGCAAGATGCATGCAGAATGAGCTTAGATCGGGACAACGTAGGCACAGAGAGATCTCAGCCCTGAAAACTGACCACCTGAGCCCCGTGCAGTGAAGACAATGGTTGAACGCTGGACCTGTGTCTCCTGGGCACAGACCCCCCCCCCTGATTTAAACAGCTTAAATTCCTGCGCCATTTCCCATGGAAGAAGAGATCCATTGGCAGTGCTGGGAAAACAGCCATTCGCCTGGTGACATTAGCTTGTGTGGGGTAGGAATGAGAATGGCCCTCATAGGTTCATATATTTAAATGTTTGGTTCCCAGTTGGTGGAACTGTTAGGGAAGGATTAGGAGGTGTGGCCTTGTTGGAGGAGGTGTGTCATTGGAGATGGCTTTGAGGTTTCAAAAGCCCACACCATTCCTGGTCAACTCTCTCTACCCTCATACTTGTATCTCAAGATGTGAGCTCTCAGCTATGGCTCCAGCACCACCTGATTGCCTGCTGCCATGCCTTTTTCTATGATGATCATGGATTAAAACACTCTGAGAGCGTCAGCTCCAAGTAAACTCATTCTTCTACAAGTTGTCTTGGCCGTGGTGTTCTACCATAGCAACAGAAAAGTAGCCAAGACAGCCTTGCATCCATCGTATGCGTTTAATTCATATGTAAGAATGACTCAGCTATCATATGGGTGGCATTTTATTATAATGTACTATTTAATATGATGTGTCAAACCCCTGAGTTGTTATTTAGCAAGTATTTAAAACGTATCACAGTTTTTTCATGGCCCTGTTTTAAGATTTTTCCTAACAGCAGGAAATATCTGTGACCTGAATTGGGGTGGCAGGCACAGGAGGAGTTGGATGGGGAAATGGGGGGGGCAGTGCAATATATTTAGTGTTCACATATAAAGTTCTCTCAAAGAGCAAATGTCTTAAATCGAAAATATTTGTGGCCTGGGTCACTACAGTAACTACAGACAAAGCAAGTAAAAAATAAATCATCAAACGTGTGGGTACCACACATTATAGATGCATCTTTCTCTTAGAGAGACAGAAGGTTCGCACTCTCAGACTGGTGTCCTCTTCAGCCTGCTGCAGCTCTGCCTCACTGCCAGGTAGTATCATCTCTCCCATCACTACGCAACCCTGGATATGGTATCTCAGATGCCTCCCCCTGCCTACTATCAGTTGCTTCCAGCAATGACACACTTGAGCTTATTTTCCAGAGTTCTCCATATCTGCATTCCATCTTTTCAAATAGAGACATGCGTCGCTATCTGCAATATAGCCCCTCCTTTGTGGACATCCACAAAGAAGAATTTTTACAAGCTGCCAAAAGAAGTCCCCTTTTGACAGCTCCAAAGGTCCAAGAGTGGACACGCTGTGCCTATCTCCTTCATTCCTTAATTTTTCCACCACTCTGCTGGAAACCCTGTGGCAGTGATCTCCCTAAACTCAGTCCAATGGCCTGGTTTTTTCCTGTTCTAAATATAAATTACAACGCAAGCTCTACAAAAGGACCTGGTTCCCCAGCTGAACCCCCAATTACCATTCTAGCCGCGTCCTGAACAAAATCTGCTTTAGGAATTCTCTTTCAGGTCTAAGTCATAAAAGCTTAATCTAAATTAGCGGAAACAACAGAAAGATGTTAAGTTATTGGCTTGTATAAATTAAAGCAAATATGGGGATAATTGAACAGGCATGTCCTAAATCTAAGGATCAAAAGATATTATGAAGGCAGATTATTGAAGGCAGATAAGATATAGATGGGGCTCTGGGAGCTATGGGAGTACATCATTTCACATTGATATTTCTGCAGTAAATTTTTATGCAGCCTTTATAAAAGCTAGAGACTGTGAGTATTCAGGCCAGGAGGACCAGGCTTGCAGCCATGGTGCCCAGTAAGAAAGCAAGCTGATCCAAAATGTCAGTATCCTCTATGGTGTGGTGCCTGTATCTCCAAGAGCATCATTTGCTGTCCAGTCCTATTTCTATGTACCCTAGAGGCGTCTGAAGGTAGGACTTGATAGTTGTCACCTCTCAGACCATAGGAAGAAATAATGAGCTGTTGGGTTGTGTTTTGTTCCTTTTAATTATTGATATATAAATTTTAAAATTAAGACATAATTGCATCACTTTCTGCCTTCTATTGAGAGATCCCAACTCAACACTTTTAGACCCCTAGTGACTAGCCCATCACCGAGTGACTTGCCCTTCTACCCTCTCCTGAGAAACTGGAGACCTCAAGATAAACCTAAAAGATAACCCTCCTTTATCCAGGAACTAGCTCACCACATTCCTGCTCAATGTTTAACTGTACAATGCCTAAAGAATGCTTGCTTGAGATAACCTTCCTGTTAAGACATAAGCTATCATTTAATTTCCTCACCCGTTATGTTTATGATGTTTGCCTAACTCCCCGATTCAGTTTTTCCCTTTAAAAAACCCCCGACTGCAGCTACTAGGGGTCAAACTCCTCTGTCCCTGTGAGGGTTATGAGCTCGGCCCAGTGCACTGGTTCCCCAAATAAACCTCGTGTGCTTGCAGCAAGAATGGTCTCTCTTGAATTATTGGGGTGTCGGCTTGTCCCGAGACTTAAGTGACGGTCTCCCCACTCTGGGGGTCTTTCACTATCAAAAACAGACTTTCTCCTTTCATTTAGTACTCTCTCAGTGATCCCTTCCAGGCCTTGCTGGGGTCCATATCCTGAAGAAGGACCTCCCAGATTCTCCTACCAGGTCTTGAGAACAATGTTTCTTTATCTGACTTCAGGGCCTAGATGTGCTGTGTACTGGACTCTTGAGCGAGACTCTTGTATTTAAATAAAAGGATCAAAGCTACCCGGACCCTAAAGCTTTGTAGAGGATTGTTTTGCAGAGAATGAATAATCTCTCTGAGTTAGAACTCAATAACTCTGTAAGGATGTGGCGAGAGGACAAGTATTAATAATTTACATGGCAGACTGATGGTAGACTATCTGAAAATCCAAAGAAAGAATCGTCTTTTCTTTTGCCCTGGGTATCAGAAACTTCCAAAATATTGATCGCTGTTTGTTCGGGAGAGCAGAGTGGGGTCAAGCGTAGAAGTTGTTTCTAAACCAGTCCCTTCCAGGTAGCTGCACATGTTCGCTTCAGCGTAACCCTTACGTTCAACAGCATTTCAAGCAAAAGAAACAGGCTGAAGAATTTTGAAGACAGATGTAGCATGATAAGAGTCATGTTTAGAACAAACAGCTTGATACAGCTCAAAGCTCAGGCAGTTTATCAGTCAGTATCCATTGTATTCCTTTACTGATGAAATCACTTTTGAGAGTAGCACTGGCACTGCTGGATACATAGAAATAAGAGGGAAAAGCAGGATAGCTGCCCATGCCTGCCTCACATGAAACATTTTGAAACAAAATGGCAAATAGCAAATTAGGACTAGTACTCGTGCAACTGAACAAGATATAGACTCCAAGTGACACAGCTTCACGCTGGGAGATCAGGAACAAACCAAGGAACTCATCTTAGCTACTTCTATTTGGCAAGCTTTGGAGGCATTAACCAGAGCAAATCAATAAGACAAAGGAATAGAAAGCATCCCAATAGGAAAGGAGGGAGTGAAATTTCCTATTTGTAGAATACTTCATCTGTTCATGTATTTAAATAAACTTTAGGAATATATGTGCAGACACATGTATGTGACTACGTGTGTGTATGTTATCTGTGTGTGTGTGCATGCATGCATTTTTGTGAGATGCTGCTGGGTTTCAAGACAATGCTCTAGATCAGAACTGCCTGTTGCTTACAGCAAGTTATTTTGCAACTCCATCAAACCTTCAATGTCTTTCCTAAACAGACATAGCATTTGGAATAGAAATTGTGTGATAATGATTCTCTTTATAAATTTTGACTAAAATGCTGTGTATCAAATCTGTAGTTGTTTTGGATTTAATAGGTCTAAGGCTTTATCTGATTTTTCAAAAACTGTACAAGTCTAAATACAAGGAGACTCCACAGCTAGCAGAAACACAGCTTATTCCAGAAGTTTAGAAAATACAATTCAGAAAGGAGCTAGGTAGAGCCCATTTTCCTCTAGTCTCCTGTTTCTAACTCCTTTAGCCTTCCCTGTGGGTAATGGGATGAACAGAAAACCCCTGGGTAAGAAATTGGTAACAGTGAGACACGTAGCAGAGGTAACCAGATTGCAAAGGCAAGAGTGATGTCATGTACAGGCAACCTACAGTATTCTTTTACATATTTGGAGGAAAATAAGATTACCCTGCATTTCAAACCTTCAAGCTGAGTAACTCAAATAAAAGGCCATCATATCTCATTGTATTGCAAAAATTTTGAAATTTTCCATCAGATGATTGGTCTTAGGAAAAAAATAGAGAGAAGAGAAAAAAGTACTTAAGTGGAAATTTTGATCTTACCAACAAATGAGAAAAAAAACTAAAATACATATCAAAAGAGTATATAAAAAGTTCTCTAGAGCCATATACCCAGAATGCTCTCTGAAAAGGAAGAGACAATCACAAGCCATAGGTTTATTTATTAAAATGAAATTATTAAAACTCAGCTTTCCATATGAGCATGCTCAATTATGACTGAAAAAAAAACTTAGGAAAACATCAAAACACAAAACTACAGCCAGCTCAATTTCAATTATTAATAAATGTTTTTATTTTTCTATTAACTCACATGGCAATAAAATCATAATTAGATTGGGTGAGAAAAGAATTAATATTGTATTTAATTTAAAAAATGGAAATGAATAATCTTTATACATTTCTGCTAAATAGGAGAAAAGAGATACTATAATATTTAAATCTACAATTAATTAAGTTACTGCCAGAGAATAAGAACTCAGATCAATGAAAAATCTTGGAAACACACTTTTCTACTTTTAAAAAGTTAATTCCTGACAAGAATATATTGAATATCAATGGAAAAATACTTATGCCATTATATTGGAAACTTTTTAGCTGTTTAGGAAGGGGGTTTTAGTCCATGTACAATGCAAAAGACCTAATTTTAAATTGATGTAAAAGTTACATAAAAAAATTGAAAAGAAAGAAGCATGACAAAGCATTTGTTCTCTCATGGGTGGAGATTACCAAGTTAAAAAGAAAAGAAACACCAATGAGCTCAGACAGAACATTTCATAGTCACCTCTATTTAAGACCTACATTGCCTGCAGAAAATTTAAAGCTTCTTGGGTGAAAACACAAATTAAAAGGCAAACAATGAACTAAAATCCTAGTTATAAACAATGCAGTCCAGACTTAACATCGCAATGCATAAGGAACTCTCAGAGATCAATAAAATAATTTGCCAGATTCTCAACTAAGAAGACAATAGGGGGGATGGAAGAGGAAACACAATCCCCTAAAAAATGTGTGAAATAGTCTATCTAATAATGAAAGCAATGAGTACTAAAGCACTTGTACTTACACTAACAAAGACATGCGTGTGTGTTTGCTTGTCTGTGCATGCATGCGCATATGTGAGTGCATGTGCGTGTGTGGGTGTGTGTGTGTGTACATGCATGTGTGTGTTTGCATGTGTCTGTGCATGCGTGAATGTATGTGAGTGCATGTGTGCGTTTGTGTGTGTGTATACATGCATGTGTGTGTCTGCATGAATGTGTGCATGTGTGCATGTATACATGCATGTGTGTTTCATGAACGTGTGCATGTGTGTGTACATGGGCGTGCATGTGCGTGTTTCCGTGTATGGCAGTGTGCATGTACATGTGCGCGTGCGCATGTATGTGCGTCTTTGTGTGTGTGTGTGTGTACACGCCCGTGTACATGTGAGGTTCTATTAACCACCGAACTCTCTCTCTAGTCCCAGTAGAGTTTTAAAGCGTTGGACAGAAAATCATTTTCATAAGGAGACATTTCAAGTGTCTGGATATGGTTTTGGCAGAATGGTACAGGAAGAAAATATTCATGTCTTTCAACCAGTTATTTCCATTGTTTCCATCTTTAGAATTCATTTCACGCAGTTGACTAGAAGGGTGGGCAGAATTTTACTAAGATTTCCTTTATTGTATAGACCAAAAGTAGGGGGGAAAATCTCCCCAAGTGTCGAACAGTAGAGAAACCCTTAGTGATTTACAGTGGAATGTATTGTTTTGGCATAAGCATATTTTTAAATAGCATTTGATAGGACTGACGAGAGCATTCAGCATGGTCCCAATTATGTAAAAGAAAAGAAAAACCCCATAAACTTTGCACAGAAGAAGAACTGTAGGAAATACCATGGTGGTATTAGAGGTAACCATCTGCGTGTGACATAATAATGGGTTTTATTTTTCTTTGATTTTCCAACTTGACTACTCTATGCCTACTGACATTCTATACATGCCGAAAACATTTCTGTTAAAGAACAACTGAGTTGTCCCTCCCAGTGTGATACAGAGCTTTGCCCACGTTTTCCTGGACAGTACTTACCGACCACCTCTGCAACCATAAACACGAAGCATATTGCTGAAGCCGCACAGAGTCTCTGCTTGGCACGCACCTGCTTGCTCGACCTGTCCTCTGTGGCCTTGACGCTGCTGTGGCAGTGACGGATGCCTCCTGCCTCTGGCTGCTCTGGCCTGTCCCCAGGATGCTGATCTTTATTCAGAGGGTTCTGTCCAAGTTCTCTGCAAAGGATGATTTGGACAGGAGCAAGAAGTGAACGTGTTTGCAAGCAAACAGCTCCCTGGCCGCCCTACTCAGTCTCCATGTGGCTCTCAGGACATCTGCAAACTAGCAACGGAGTTATAACTCAGAGATCTCTTTACATTCTCTTCTCGGTTCACGACTGCTACCAACCGCTACTTGCGTTGAGCGGGGGCAATAGGAGGAAAGAAACGGAAAAACATAATGGCATATCTTTCTTAATTGCTCCATTATTAAAAGGAGTCTGGATATGGACAGAAGCCACCACCACCATCATCAGGGAAGATTGTAAGAGATAGCAAATGTATGAGAGTAGGTCACAGCACTTGTTCAGTACTGAGGGTCGACGGGGACCCTCAGACACCTGATCACCCATTATCTCTACCAAATACCCACTGTTATGACGAGGACCTAGATCCTACTTGTGCATCCCAAAATATTAGCTACACAAAAGTTAATTTGGGGACTCCCATGGGATCATAGATGGAGAAACTATTGATAAAAGTAAACTCAACTGTGTAGTTTCTTTGACTAGGGTTAATAAGTTGAAGGGAGGTAATGTGATTTTCTAAGGTAAGATGTGCAGAAACAGGTGAGGCAAATCCCAACTGTTTCCCCACCATGCACCCACCAGTTGTGATCTCAATATCGGTGCACCTAATCTGGCGGTGCAGATGACACTGTCCATGGACCTTGAACTAATAGGATTTTTTTAACTCAATAAACTTATTTAAAAACACTAATTAGGTTCTCAGAATTAAGAACTTTTCATTTCCAGCTCTGAAAGTTAAAACGTTTAAGCTAGCTTCTATTTGGGGATTTATTTCATTTGGATTATCACCATCTGGAGTTAAAACTCATGATTTTTGGCTTGGCTAATAAGCATTAGGATCACTCTAATTATTGTCATATTTGAATTTTTCTGAAAAAACATGCATATCATTATAGAAAAGCTAGAGTTACAAAGAGGCACCGAGTAGAGAAAAATCACTGGTACACATATCCCCAAAATACAGTTATTGATATTTTATTGGATAGTGTTGTAACATATAAATATACATTTTTATAGACTGAAAGTCAATATTGATTAAAGTGTTTTGATATCTATGTACAGAAAACATTAATTGTATTGAAACAGTAATACATGAGAATTGTTCTGCTACTGAAAACACCTAGAGGAACCTATTTGGACAGGGCTCCAGAGCTTTTTCTCTCCTTCTTAGTTATTCCTTATGCTCAGACTGAGTTTCCTCCTGGCCTGAAGGGTTGTCAGAGGTTATCAGGCTATGTTCATGGGTTTTCATAAGTAAGTGGAGAAGTTATCTGCCACGGCTTAAGTCTGAAAGGGCCCCCATGAGCTCATGTGTTTCAACTCCGCATCTCCAGCCTCTGTAACTGTCTTGGGAGTTTAAAGTATGGGATTTGGCTGAAGAAGTGGTCTCTAGGACCAGCCTACGAGTTGTAAAACTCCTCCTTGATTTTCTTCTTTCTCTGTACTTCCTGCTAAAGCTAAGATGTGAGCTGCCCAGGTGCATGCTCCCATCACAAGGGAGCTACTCTGCCTTGTCATGACAGACTGAAATCTCTTGAAACCATGACCACAGGTAAATCTTTCCTCCCTGAAGTTGCTTTGGTTGGGTGTTTGTCACAGAAATGAGAAAACTAATACAATATTCCCTCTCAAAACTGACCCAAGAGTCTGGAGGTAAGCCAATTTTGCCAAATGAGACCCGTCTACTATAACTAGAAGACTATTCTCTTAGACCTCATTGCATTTAGATGTCTAAACCCAACCATGCTACCTCCTAGAGCTGCAAAGAAAGCAAATTCTACACACACACACACACACACACACACACACACACACACAAAGCCACAACAACTTGGTGCAGTGTGGACATTGTTCATTGTTTCTATGCTATTGCTTGAAGAACAAAATATTTTCTTTTGTTTTTTTTAAATTTACACAATTTTAACATTTGTATTTTAAGTATTTTATCAAGAAAACATGCCTAATCCAAGAGTCATAGGTTTATGCCTGTGTTTTCTTTTAGAAGATTTGTAACTGTATAATTTTAGCACTTACCTTAATGCTTATGATGCATTTTCGTGAAGTTTTTCAGTATGGTCAGAAATATATGCAAATTAATTCTTCTTCATGTGACTAGTTAGTTGTCCCAAAAACATTTATTGAAAAAAACATTGTTGGAAGACAACTGACCCATCCAGTTGCTCTATATGTGTATTTATACTGGTATCACACATTGGGAATCTAGCGGTGTATTTACCTTTTTCTGTGTTTTTATTCTCTGATGTTTTCGTACATGCACACAAAGAATTTCAGTTGTTTTTAACCCTACATTATGCTCTTTTACCTCTCTCTCTCCTGAAGTCCTTCCTGCTTCTCCTACTTTGCTCTTCTTTTTTGCATGTAATGTTTGTGTGTGTGTGAGAGCTACCTAGATAAACAGACAAATATTCTCTCCAGGGTAATAATGGCATAACTATTATGGGAATAACCAAGTGTTTTCTGATTGACATTTTTACATATGTATTAAAATATGTTATCATTTGCAAATAGAGTTTCATTTTTTCCTTTCTAATCTGTTATCACTCGCTTTCTTGCATAAAATGTTCTGGCTGGAATGCACAGGGCAATGTTGACTTCTGTCATAATTACAACATTCCATTTTTGGAAGTGTCAGGAGATTCTTGTCAGGAGATTCTTTGGGGGCTCAAGAGATGGCTTAGGGAGTGAGTGCTTAGGGCTTTTTCAGAAGAACTGGGTTTCAGCTCTGAGTATGTACACGAGGACTCACAACCACCTACCAAGTCAGACAGCTTACAACCACCTGTAACTTCAGCTCCAGAAAACCCTGCACCCTATTCTGGCCTCTCTAGGCATGTGTGCTCAAGTGTACATGCACACACAAAAGTAAAATAAATTTTTTAGTATGAAATGTCAAGGTGTGAATAGGTTTCTTCTTTTTTTCATTCATTAATTAATTGGTTAATCAACTAATTTGTTGGGGTTTTTTTTTGGAGACAGGGTCTCTCTCTGTAGCCCTATATATCCCAGAACTCACTATTCAAACTCATAGGGATTCACCTCCCTCTGTCTCCAAAGTGCTGGCTGGCATTAAAGGCATGCGCTACCCCACCCTGATGCTGGCTTCTCCTTACACTTCACTGAGTGTGGTTCTCCTTCTTCCCTTGGGGTCATTGGCCACTGGCCCATGAAGGAGGAGGGAGAAGAAGCAGAAAAGTGTTCAGATGGCTGTCAATACGATGTCTGTGAATCAGCTCAACTTTATTCCAGAGTAGGGGAAATATATAGCATTGGAGAGCCTGGGCATAAAACCCTCATTTCCATAAAGTTTGGGCTCTTTAATTGCCTCCCAATTGCTCTGCCATTTTCAAAAATGCTTGAAGATACAAACTACTCCACAATGTAGGTGGTTTAACTAATTTTGGGGCTTGCGTTAGTCTGCTTGAGCTTCAAGAAAGCATCACAGCATGGGCAACTTAACATAACAGAAATGTATCTTCTCATGGATCTGGGGTTTAGAACTTCATGGTCAGTTTGCTAGTAAATTTCTACATCAGACACATTCTTTCTGGCTTAATTATGGTTTCCCTTGTATATCCTCTCATGGCTTTTCCTCCTTGTATACACAAAGAAGGAGAAAAGGTACTCAGTGGCTTATCACGCGTAACACCATTACTGCAACGACATTTAAACTTGATTCCATTCTTAGAGGCCATATGTTTTTAATAAACCTGAACTGGGCCTTCAAGTGTCAACACCTGAATTTGGGACACGGGGAATACAAACTACCTGTAACTTCAGCTCCGGAGAACCCAGCCCCCTCTTCTGGCCTCTCTAGGCATGTGTGCTCAAGTGTACATGCACACACAAAGGTAAAATAAAATTTTTAGTATAAACTGTTGGCTATTTATATTACAGAATTCTAATAGTTATAAAATAGGAATTTTTGCTATTTCAAAAATGTGGAAGTATTCCTAGTACTAACAACATACTGTCCAACATTTTTGCCTGACTTCATATGAGGCTTTGTTTTTAATAGTTATGATATCAATAACTGACACCTCAAATTTTCTAAGAAAATGTCCATGTTGTATGCTATTCATTTGTAAAGCCAAGTTATAAATACTCTTTAGGGAAAGTCCTCTTTGCAGTTTTAATATATTTGATGTGATCAAACATAACATTGTTTTTAGGTTATTAATTTGGTCCTACAAAATAAATGAAAATAATGCATACATTATTAATAAGTACATTTTCTCTTAAAGTCTGCTCTAGCTGAGTCTATTACAAGTTTTCACTTATCCACTTAACTCCTCATTGGTGTGATCTCTCCATATATACCAACCTCTCTTTCCTGCATACATGTTTCTTTAGTTTGAAATTATCTGATTATGATCAAAATTCCCCTCACTCGTTTTTTGTTTTTGCGGGGCTTGAATTGAACCCAGCGTCTTTTGCTAAACACACACTCTATCGCTGAGCTACACCCAAACCTCACATTTCCTTTCTTTCTACATATATTTCCCTTAAATCAATTGTGATTCTATTTTGTTTTGTTGAGTCCCAATTCTGTCATTTCTGGAATTATTTGCTCTCATTCCCAAACCCTGGTAAACCACAGCTTCTCGATGTTTCCTCTTAAAAGTCTCTTTAAATGTCTCCAACATTATTCTGTATTCTGTAATCATTCTTTTACATGATTCTTATTAGCCTCTTAGTTCCAAATAAGCACACACCTAGGACTAGAAATATTTTTTCAATTATATATA